CTAACTTTAAAAGGGACAACTTAAAGCTTTTTTAAACCCACAAACATTAATTGACCCTAATATTAAAATTATATATTTATTTACATTTCTCCAGTTTGCTATAACATAATATAGTTTTATAGATTGAAATATTTGTACATTCAAAATTATGTTCAACAAAGAGCCTAGCCGATCAAGATCGATTGTACGTATTTTGATTTAAATATTTCTACAACATGAAAATATGTATTTTAAAATCATTTGAATAAATCATATAATAAGAAATTAAAAAATTAAAGAATGATTTATGAAAAAAAAACTTTTATCTCCTTCAGGATTTAAACCCACTATAGCACAGTTCCGAAGTCGGACGCCTTACTAACTGATGTACAAAACTGGCCACATTGTTTTCAACATTTTAAGAAGTCACTGAAAGGAGAAAATAGGCGGAAAAGCGCGCAATCTAATTACCCGGATTAGCTGGTGTTTGTTCCCTCTCATTTAAAGTCCAGGCCTGGGTCCATTAGTAAGAAACGTAAGGAGGAGATTTACACGACTTCTAATAAATTATAATCAATAAAAAATTATATACTTCAGAAATAACGTGTTTATTATTTTATCTAATTATTTTCCCGGATAATGTACTCACTATTTTATTAGAGTATAAGAATTTCAATCAGTAATAAATATTTTTATCAGTAAAATATAACAAATAACGTTTTACTATTCTGTATACCTTATTTAAAAAATCTTTCCCATATTAAATTGAAATAGATAATAATACATAAATGAAATTATATATAAGAAGAAAATAAAACAATTAGAATCTCAACTTTCTAAAAATTGTCTACATGTTCAGCAGTAGCAGATGCTGCCTCCAGGTATACAAGATGAGTCACAAATTAATCCACACGATTTTTCAGCCCCTTTCGATGATCTAGCAAAAAAATGTTTCCTATTAAAGTTAATTAGTATTTAACCGACGAGAAACTGCAATTATTTAAATTTAAAAACAACTTGAATTTCGATTTAAAAGAACAAGGTTGCCGTTATATTTTTAAATGAAAACAGGACGTTGAATTCGTCTCAACATCGCCTACAATGCTATGAAGTTAAAATTACCTATTAAAGATATAACGGTTATCATGTTTTGTTATCGAAAATCAATTTGTTTTTAAATTTAAACAATTGCAATTTCTTGTCGGTTAAATACTAATTAGCTTTGTTAGAAAACATTTTTTTTCAGACCATCAGAAGGGGCTGAAAAATCGTGGGGACTAATTTGTAACTCACCCTGTATATACATATGTGCTCTAAGGATATAATAGTCATTGAAAAACCTCTAAGGGCAATTTTGACTTGTATGATCCTATCCTTGCACAGTTTATCTTAACATATTAGAATTGTAAAAGTGAAATGTGAAGGTCAATACAAAGTAAAATACATGGAATATTGATTTACAAAAAATAATGTTTTAATTTTTTGGACACTTCTATGTAAAATATGTACAAATATATACAAATTATACAAATACAATCAACTCTCCTATAACATTCTTTTACAATACGGTATTCTAATAATATGATTTTTTTCTGGCACAGCTCATATTGGTAGAAGAAATGTTCTCATCGCGCATCACAATTTTTATTAACATAAGCAAGATGTTCAGCTTGAAAAAAAGAGAGAACCACTCACGGCACTCACCACTACGACACACGGCACCAAAACGAACGGAACGAACGGAACCCTCACCCTTTTAGATTTCTTTTAACACGGTTTCGATTAACCAGAACGAATTAACCGTGTTAGAAGGGTTGACTATATATGGAAGTATATACAAATTATACAAATATATAGAAATATACACAAATTATAAAAATATTTACACATATGCATATGTAATGAACTTCTGCCGAAAATTATTCGTCATCAATTAAGGAGTCACTTTCATCTGACTCTGGCGATACGACTGAAGAAAAATCTTCAGGTATGACAACTTTGTTATACATATCATTGTTGAATAATTTTAACATCTCATCGGAGATTTCATATGTTTCACAAGTCTTGTTCTTGTTTTTCATATCTAACTTAATCCTTATTAAAGATGCAACGGTTTCCGACTGGAGCTTATTCCTATGTTTAGTTTTCATGTTTGTAAGCATAGAAAAAGTTCTTTCAACATCTGCATTTAAGTATGTCAATGCGAGACATATTTCTGCCAATCGAGCAATATTGCCAAACATACATTTCATGCCGCTGGGATCTTTGATATCTTTAATTTTGGACCAAAACTCTTTTTCGTTCATAAGCGTTAGTAACTGTATCTCATCATTACTAAAATGGGTGGGTAATAAACACCATTCGGTTAAAACTTCATTCCTATTAAACTTACTTGGAAATTTCTTTATAACTTCACAAATTGAATCCGGCTTGTGCGCTGAATTGTTAACGCAATTTCTGGTTTCAAAAAATTGAGTGAATGTAAGAAAGTTTCATTAAATGGAATACATCTGACTAGTTCTTTAAACGTAATTTTATAAAATCTTTGTGCCGTTTCATAAAATTCTTTAATTTTATTGGCATCTTCCATTGTATTCCTATTTCTTATTTCATTCATTGTACATATGGCATCTTCACCAATATAAGTTTCTTCTATTGTAAGCAAATTATCTTGATCATCAATATTTAATTCATATATGTTTTCCATTCTAACATAATCACGTTTAATAAAAAATCCAGCCAAATGTCTTACTAATGTCAAACATACAGACAGCATATTGTGAATGACAAAATCGTTTTTTTGAAACGTTGCAATAAAATTTGTAATTAATCCCAGAGGAAGTATGAGAAATTCTAGATATGCTTTCATATATGGGCAATTGAAATTTTTGTTTAGCCGAGCTGCTATTGCAGATTCATGACTTTCTGTTGCATCCTTAAATACAGCACATAGAGCAGCCCACTGCATTAAAATTCGTTCAATACAACCATGTAAACTTAGCCATCTTGTTGGAGATGGTTTCAAAATTTTTTGTTGCTGTATTTTCATTTCTTTTTGTTTGGTTTCTAAAGCTATCTGCCTCTTTGGGCTGTGTGCAAAATATGTGTATACTGCATATAAAAAATTATCAAATTCTTTAAATAATACTTCGTATGCATGTCTTGCAATTAAATGAAAAGAATGACGTATACACGGAAATATGCTAATTTCTACATTAACTTCTAATAAGCGAGGTGCCACAGAATTATGTTTGTCCATCATAACATTTGTATTGTTAGCACAAAAGCCTATTAAATTATTAATGGGCAGATTATATTTTTTCAGTGTATACATCAAACATAGGAATAAGCTCTCTGAATTTGCAGCCTTTACTCTAACTAAGTCTAATAAAAACATCTTGATATCACCTTCGTGTACGTATCTTGCCAAAATACATACATGTTTCATGTTTGCAACATCTATACTCTCATCCATTAATAACAAGAAAAATTTACTCCTGAATATACTTATGGTTTCCAAAACAATATATTTGTTAATTACATTCCTTACTATTGCAGAAATTACTTGCCTCTTAACACTAAACGTACCGGCATTGTTTTATACCTAATCTTACCATAGGGGGTCATTTGACCCCTTATGGCATAAACGTTGATTTTTCGTAAAAAATTCTTTATTTATTAAAGGAAACAGTTTGCAACATCATTTTGTATAAAATTAAACACACATTTTTATTGTTATTGTTGCGCACGGCACAAATTAAAGCGCCGGAAGTCGTGAGGAGACGACACGCGATTTATTGATTCGGACTCCACGTGCATATAATACTCCAATGAATGCATATAATTTTTGTATAGGCAGATCCCATGCAGTCTCCAAAACTCGTAAAGCTTCTGCTTCTGTATATTTCTTTATGTTTTCAATAATTGTGTGATCTATTATCACCGAAAATGCAGATGAGACTTTACCAGACATAACATTTCTTTTGGCATATGCCGTTGGCCCTGATACTTCTCTGAAAGTAAGCGATGGTCTTCCGATTGCCGGTTCTTCTCGGATTCGCTGCCAAACAGTTCCATCAATAGCAGTGACAGTGTCTTCAAAATTCTGTTCACTATCACTTTCAGAATCCGATAAAAATCTTCGGCGCCTCTGTCCTCTATGGAGATTCATAAAATATCCAGTTTCATCGGCAGTCACATCATCATCCTGTGTTTCCTCATTGTCTGCAGAATCACTTCGACTTTCAGTTTGATCATCTTCTGGTATTGAAACTTCTTCACCCGAATTCACTTCACTTATTTGTCGAATTCTTTCCAACTCTCTCACTGACCGTGCGGACATATTGGGGGTTGCAGTGAAACGTAAGTCCAATTGAATGTAACAGAAATTGTCAAGATATAACTAAAACTGATGTTTACTCTGCGACTCTCAATATACGACTGCACTTCTATTTCGTTTGGCTACAGAAAACTCATTGGAGGGAGTTTTGTGAATCCCTGATAAGAGTATGTTCTGTTTACTGTTTACTTACTTACGACACGCATGTCAGGATCCGATAAATGAAAGTCATTTGAGAAGGGTATCTGAATTTAAAACTAAGGTTTCAGTTAGAAAATTGCTGAAAAATACTAAACTTCGTATGGGGTCAAATGACCCCTCATGGTACGTAAGGTAGGTAAAAAATTTTTCGTTAGAAAAAATTAGCTACGAAAAAA